CATGTTGGACCTTGAAGTGGTCAGAAGTTTTCAGTCTTGGTCCAACAGCAAATAGCGGGTGGTTAAAGTTTTTACTTCACCACATTAGTTTTGCTCCCAGAATGACTCTGATGTCTCTATGAAGTGTACACAAAGCACAGTCCACACTTATGAATTCAGTTCAAAGACTATTAATACTTTCAGCTTATTTGTTAAAGAGACTTAACAATTCACTTCTAGACTGAGTTTTTTGTCATATCTGAAAGACCAAAAAATAAAACTTGATTTAGGATTCACTTCAAAGTAGGACCCGATCACAGTAGTTGTTCCTGTTGCACTGCTATGCAGTTTGGGGCATTTCTTCCCGGACAGTGACGTGCCTGCCTTCCCTGCAGCCGCCACAGCTGGGAACAGAATTACACTGGTGCCCTCTGCTGGGATGAGATGGGAAGTTCAGCAAGAAACAATAGTGTCCTGGTCTTTTCAGCATAGAGACCAACGTGGCGATTCTGGGCCCACAGCAGCCTCCAGGCTGGATTCATTTAGTGCTCTCTCCAGGCCTCCCAGTCAGCTGTCTTCCTGGCATCATGCCTGAATTTATTAACCAAAAGGAGTAATTGGATTTTTAATGTACGAAGATTGTCAGCTAAATTTTAAAAGTAATCCAAGGAAATGATGCCTTTTTCTCTGGCAGTTTGAGAGCTGGGCCCTGTTTTCAACACAGAGGGTACCTGTATTCATCGTGGGATTCATCCTGGTTGGTGGCTTGGCCGTCTTGCTACAGAACAATACGTATTATGAGCCACAGGGAGACTCTGAGACCATTTTAAAAATCCTGTTCAATTATTATTTATTATTATTTTATTGATGAGGAAGCACATTGATATTCATTGCTGATTTTCTAGGCTCAAATAAACAGCATTACTGCTATGGTGTTAAATTCAATTTAGAGAGAGGACGATCCAAAATGGCCATTTAGGAACAGCTCAGGATTGCAGCTCCCAGTGAAAGCGCAGAGGGTGAGTGGACGCTGCATTTTTATTGCCCACAGACTAGGAAATTCCCGGGCGGAGGAGCTCCACAGTCGCCAGCGTGGCTGTTTCAGCCAGTGCGGCTGTGCCGGCAGGCGCCGCTGCTTTGCCCCGTGCTGCTGCTTTGTCTGCGCCCCGGAGCCGTGGTTCTCAGTACAAAATACACCGGTCCGGGGGCCCTTTTGGCTGGCGATTGGAGCCATGGGAAATCGCCCATTCGCCAGTTCAAAAAGGGGACTGAGCAGAGAACCAGGACAGTAGATTCCAGGGCAAAAAAAAAAAAAAGCGCCACAAACCTCAGTGCTGCTGTTTAAGCCAGCGCAGTGAGTGGCCGCAGGGGAAAACAAACAGACCCCGGTGCCTCTTCAACAGGCGACTGGAACACCAACTTAAAAAAGGCTCTGAGGCAGGGAGCCAGGCGATCAGGCATGGCTGGCCCCACCCCCACAAAAGAACAGCAACCAGAAACTCTGGATTGAGACTTTCACAGCAAGCGCAGCTGAACCTGGGACCGTCCAGCTCTGTGGGTGGGGAGGCGTCTGCCATTACTGAGGCAGCCCGCCATTGCCAAGGCAACCCGCCATTGCTGAGGCAGCCAGCTGTTGCCAAGGCAACCAGCCACAGCAAAGAGACTCTGCCTCAACAGAGGTGGGCCACCATCACCAAAGCAGTTCTAACTACACCCATATAAACAGGACTGCAGGGAAGTTCACTCAGCAGTGGGGCGGAGCCCACAGCAGCTCAGCAAAGCTGCTATAGGCCGGCAGTGACTAGGCTGCCTCCTTGCTCGGCTGGGCAGGTCTGAAGGAAAAAAAAAAAAAAAAGAAGGTGGCAGCATAACAGAAACTCATAAATAAAGCCCTATATCCCTGGGACAGAGCACCTGGGAACAAAAAGCAGTTTATGAGTTCTGCTGCAACAGGCCTAAAAGTACCTACCCAGCAGCTCTGAATGAACAACAACAGAGCTCGCAGCTCACCATTTGAGCTCCTATAAAGAAGAGACCGTCTCCTCAAGCAGCTCCCTGACCCCTATATATCCAAAAAGACACCTCATAAAAGAGAGATCAGATTGACACTAGGCGGGTATCCTTCTGGGACAAAGATAGAAGAAGAAGAAAACTGGTAACAACCCTTGCTGTTCAGCAGCTGCTGCAGGTGAACCCCAGGCAAGCAGGGCCTGGAGTGAACCTCAGCAGACCTACAGCAGAGGGGTCAGACTGTCAGAAGGAAAACCAAGAAACAGAAATAACCTCATCATCAACAAACAGACCGTCAATCTGAAAGATTTGAGACCCAATCTGAAAGCCAGCAACTACAAAGTCGAAGGTGGATAAATCCTTAAAGATGGGAAGAAACCAGCGCAAAAAGGATGAAAACACCTGAAACCAGAACACCTCTCCTCCTAAAAGGGATCAGAATTCCTCACCAGCAAGGGAAGAAGGTTGGAGGGAGAACGAGTGTGATGAAACGACAGAATCAGACTTCAGAAGGTGGGTAGTAAGAAACTTCTGTGAACTTAAAGAACATGTTCTAACCAAATGCAAAGAAACTAAGAACCTTGAAAAAAGATTTGACGAAGTGCTAACAAGAATGGACAAAATAGAAAGGAATATAAGTGAATTGATGGAGCTGAAAAACGCAACACGAGAACTTCATGAAGCATGCACAAGTATCAACAGCTGAATGGACCGAGCAGAAGAAAGGATATCAGAGGTCGAAGATCAACTCAATGAAATAAAACGGGAAGGCAAGACTGGAGAAAAAAGGGTAAAAAGGAATGAACAAAGTCTCCAAGAAATGTGGGACTATGTGAAAAGACCTAATCTACATTTGATAGGCGTACCCAAATCAGACGAAGAGAATGAATCCAAGCTGGAAAATACTCTTCAGGATATTATCCAGGAAAACTTCCCCAACCTAGCAAGGCAGGCAAACATTCAAGTCCAGGAAATAGAGAGAACACCACAAAGATATTCGTCAAGAAGAGCAACCCCAAGGCACATAATCGTCAGATTCACCAGGGTCGAAATGAAGGAGAAAATACTAAGGGCAGCCAGAGAGAAAGGTCGGGTTACCCATAAAGGGAAGCCCATCAGACTCACAGCAGATCTCTCAGCAGAAACCCTACAACCCAGAAGAGAATGGGGGCCAATATTCAACATCCTTAAAGAAAAGAACTTTCAACCCAGAATCTCCTATCCAGCCACACTAAGCTTCATAAGTGAAGGAAAAATAAAATCCTTTGGGAACATGCAAGTACTCAGAGATTTCGTCACCACCAGGCCAGCTCTACAAGAGCTCCTGAAAGAGGCTCTACACATAGAAAGGAACAACAAGTACCAGCTCAACTAAAGGGCAAAACAGCCAGCTAGCACCAAAATGGCAGCATCAAATTCGCACATAACAATATTAACCCTAAATGTAAATGGACTAAATGCCCCAATCAAAAGACACAGACTGGCAAATTGGATAAAAAGACAAAACCCATCGGTGTGCTGTATCCAGGAAACCCATCTCCCATGCAAGGATACACAAAGGCTCAAAATAAAGGGATGGAGGAAGATTTACCAAGCAAATGGAGAGCAAAAAAAAGCAGGAGTTGCAATTCTCATCTCTGATAAATTAGACTTTAAAGCAACAAAGATCATAAGAGACAAAGAGGGACATTACATAATGGTAAAAGGATCAATGCAACAAGAAGAGCTAACGATCCTAAATATATACGCACCCAATACAGGAGCACCCAGATACATAAGGCAAGTTCTTAATGACTTACAAAGAGACTTAGACTCCCACACAATAATAGTGGGAGACTTTAACACCCCATTGTCAATATTAGACAGATCAACCAGACAGAAAATTAAGGATATCCAGGACTTGAACTCAGACCTGGACCAAGCAAACCTAATAGACATTTACAGAACTCTCCACCCCAAAGCCACAGAATATACATACTTCTCAGCACCACATCACACCTACTCTAAAATTGACCACATAATTGGGAGTAAATCACTCCTCAGCAAATGCAAAAGAACGGAAATCGTAACAAACATTCTCTCAGACCACAGTGCAATCAAGTTAGAACTCAGAATTCAAAAACTAACTCAGAACTGCACAGCTTCATGGAAACTGAACAACTTGCTCTTGAATGTTGACTGG